CCAAGGCACAGTAAGGAAATGGAACGTGCAGTCCTTGGTTGGATTCTGGACCAGAGCGAGGACATGCGTGGGATAACTGACTGAATCAGGATGAGGTCTGTAGGTTAGCTTACAGTGTTACCTCAATGTTAGTTCTTAGTATAATTACTCTAAAATTTTAAAGTCAGTCCTTTCTGAGCTCTTGCTTAGCAGGTCTCCATCTGTGTGACCTTCGTTCCTTCGGTCCATAGGCTTGTGATCTTTACTGCCCAGGCCAGGCACGTTTTCAGACCTTGCCAAATAATGACGCGTACGTTCTGCTAGGCGGTACGTACGTACTTTCTCTTCCCATGCAGTCTCACTATTAAGTGGTGTTGCTGTACAATGAATAACAGGCATCCTTTTTTCAAACTGGTAAATGAGGATGTAGTAATTTAGTGGGTTTCTACCAGCACTTAAAAATGGGATAGAAAATATCAGTATAAGACAGAGTAAGATTAAATACTGTTGCAAGAAACTTGTTTTGTTTCTGTGTGTGTATTTTGCATCTTCACTAGGTGGTCATGTAAAATGCATGTTGTACTCTTAGTTGTCACTAATGAAAAGTTTAAAAGTCCCTGCTTTAAGGGCTATCAGTCTTTTGAAGATAGATGAAGTTGTTAAAAGCATTGTGTTGTATAGATACATCAGAAGTAATTTAGAGCATTTTGTTTGACACCTCTTGAGGATTTTGAGGGCCAGAGAAATCAGGGGGTTGTATAAAAGTTGAAGGATTTCACTGCGCTTAGGGTCTTAAGCTTTTGCATTTTTAATAGACCACAAGTCACAGTACCTGTCTGCATAAAAAATAATTCAAATGCAGAATACCTGTTCTGCCTGCAAATACGTAGATCTGTTGTGGCACTGATCCAATGCTTCGTTTCAAGGACAGAATTTGGCTGTAAAATTTAAGGATGTTCTGGGAATTACTAAAAAAAAAAAAAGCAAAAGCAAAACAGAAAACCCTAGAGGAGCCAGAGCAGACGGACAGAATGTGCCAAGGAAAAACAAAGGGATTGCTCAAGAACCAGGAAGCGGATGTGTCCCCCTGCTGTCGTGGGCAGCTCTCCAGATGCTTCGGGGCAGGAGCCCTGTGTGAGTGTCCTTTCTCTACAGCGTCACACTCTCTGCTGAGGAAGGTGTGAGCGCTCCGCCATGCATCCCGTTATTTTAGGGATGGAGTTTGACGAGCTGCGCACGTGTGGTCTTCACACTGCCCAGCAGGTGCTCTGCTTGACCTCCAGGGTTTTGGAGGAAGATGACATGGAAGTGTCCTCAGGAAAATGTTTTATTTTTACTGTTTCTGTCAGTTAAATTTTGGAGAATTGTATTAGGTAATCATGGGCTTTCTTGGGGCTTCCCTTGTGGCTCCGATGGCACAGATCTCTGGGTCAGAAAGATCCCTTGGATGACTACCCACTCCACTCTTCTTGTCTGGCAAATCCCATGGATGGAGAAGCCTGGCAGGCTGCAGTCCGTGGGGTCGCACAGCGCCATACATGACTGAGTAAACACTACCCCTTTCATATAGAGGGGTCTTTAAGACCAATGAGATCTGGTTTATTTAGAGCCTGCCTGCCAGTGCAGGAGACGAAAGAGACACCAGTCTTTCGGAGCTTCCCTGGTGGCTCAAGATAGCAAAGATCCCTGGGTCGGGAAGATCCCCTGGAGAAGGGCATGGCAACCCACTCCAGTATTCTTGCCTGGAGAATCCCATGGACAGAGGAGCCTGGCGGGAATCGGACATGGCTGAGCCCACTTGTACACGTGCGCGCACACACACAGACAGCCACTAATTACCGTTTAACAGCAGCCAAGTAATTTGACTTTTCTCAGCTTCACTTTGTCTTCTGTGAGATAGAACAGGGGCATCTCTGGATGGTGGGGGGATAGATGAAACAGGAAATAGGAAGGAGCTGTGGTCTGTACAGAACACTTTACTGAAAGAAGGCAATGACATGCAACTGCTTTTCTCTGGTCTTTATGAAAGGGTTGAGTAGTGAAGAGGGTTCTATGGATCAAAGTCTTCATGGCGTAAAACAAGTCTTTTACACAGTTACTACAAAAATCTACAAGGGAGAAGCTTGAGGAAGTTCTCCCATACCATACGGAGTTGAGACCTAACTCATTGTTTCAGGAATTTAACTCTCCAGAAGGTTTTGAAAGCAGAAGTTAGGGTTTTACACCCTATTTATTGAGTAAAACTGTTACCTGGACTGGAGACATTTTACAGAATTAAAGCAGTTGCTCACTCTGATGGATATAACACGCAGATGATTAAACCAACTTAATCTGCCTTCTGCTAAAATGTGCGGTTGGGTGACAGGTGTGTTTTATTTCTTGAAGTATGGGTATTAAATTTAATTTCCCTGAGACGATTATAATCAAAAATGTTTTTAGCCCAGTTGTTTGCTCTTTGACCATTAACTAACAAGATGATTCAATCAGGATTTATTCAGTTCAAACTCAGTCTTTCAAAACCAACCAGGTAGTTTCAACTTGTTTTGTTTCCTGGAGGGGTAGAATGTGGAATCCCGCCCCCCTCAGTTTCCCATAACGAGTATAAGCTTCAATACAGGCAAATTTCAACAAGATGAGTAGACCAGTCTTTCTGGAAATCACTTTCGTGTTGCAAGGAGTTTTTAAAGTTCCTTTAGTCGTTTTCTAGTGAGCATTCACTAGTCAATCTTTTTTCCTTTTTCGAAACAAATTTCCTTCTTTTTTTCCTGGCCTAAAAATAATGCAAATATTCATGAGTTAATTTCTTTTCATGTGTTTATAACTACATATTTCCTAGAGAATTGTGTTTTAATGAGATTGTCAGAGTTTCTCAGCCCTGTCTCAAAATGTTTTAGGGCAATGCATTTTAATGTTTTCTAATTCTACACTGGAGAAATCCTAACAGGGTATTTAAGTCAGGTGATAAAATGAGAGTCGTAAAACTGCTTTAAAGAACTATGGTGCTGGAATGGATTTCCTTCCTAGTTCAAAACATTTCAGAAACTGCATGAATGACCTTTATTTTCTTCTCTGTAGCACACACAACTGTAATTTCCCATGACTATTTATGGTCTGTACAGCCCTTTTCTAACTTCCTTTTTTTTTTTTTAAAGAAAATGTCAACGGAATACGTGTTTCTTTAATGGAAAATGTTCTATTTTGGGGATGCTGCTTTTCCTTAGCTCCATCGTGGAGTTGTGTGTGTGTAAGTGTGTGGGGGCTGCAGGATCCGAGAGTATTGAATTAGTGGATTGAAAGCTTGGAACGACAGTCCTGGTGGTAACTCCTGAAAACAGAGCCTTCTTTTCATCCTTGATTAAAAATATCTATACCTGGTATTTCAGAGTCTTTATTTTCAAGGAAGATTTTCTTTTTTTAACTAAGGTATGGTAAAATAGTCCCGAACTGAGTGCAGAATGTTTCAAACCTGGGTGGTTTTGGAATGAGAGAAGGTCAGTTCATGAACAGAGTGGTTCATTCCAGGTGGGCTTGGGGAGCAAGGCAGCTTTGGCCTGGGTAACCGTGGCAGGGGGGCACTGTGGGCTGGGCAGTCTCTGCTCGGTCCCTGCGGCCCCATGACCGAGCCCCGTGCTGGAGGTCACCGGACGCAGCAGGGTTGTCTGCCTGCCCAGGTCCTGCCCCTCCCTTCACTTCCCTTTTCAGTGATTGGGAACCTGAACCCAGCACGGATTCTGTTTCAGTTCTCCAACTTTGCATTTTGCATTTATCTGTGTTTCACAGTAACTAAGGAAGGATTACAGTGTTTTTTTGAGAGTTTTAGTTACCTCAAGTATAAAAACGTTATTCATAGTTTAGCTATTGTTCACACTATCATTTGGATTACTGATAGCATATATTAATACGTATGTTTCTATGTAAGTTTTATTAAAGTATAATATAAATACAGAAATGGGACCATAAGTATGAAAGTGTTAGTTGCTCACTCCAATTCTTTACAATCCCATGGACTGTAGCCCACCAGGCTTCTCTGTCCATAGAGTTCTCCAGGCAAGAATACTAGAGTGGGTAGCCCATTTCCTTCTATTGCAAGTATAGTACTTGATAAATTTTCTCAAAGTGAACATATTCATGTGACCAGCACCCAGATTAAGAACCAGTACAGTATCATACTGGAAAAATTAGAAGCTATCTCCTAGACATTGCCTCCCTGCCCTGACTTTTAATACTGTAGATTAGTTTTGCCTGATTTTGAACTCTGAAATTATGGAATCATGCAGTGTATCCTGTTATCTAGATTCTCTTATTAGTATCATATTTTTGAGATTCATCCTATTGATACATGTAGTTCTTCATTTTCACTACTATATAGTATTCCATTATTTTACTATAGAACAAGTTATCTCTTGCAGTTGTGAATATATGTCAGTGAAGTATGGTTTAGACAGCATATACTGAAAAGGACTTAGTCACTATGTGATTTAGTTGTATTGTGATCTAACGTCTGATTGTTTTATTGCTATGAAAACCCTTTTATTTTAAAATAAGCAATTGTGTTTCTCTTTCTTAAGACAGAATATTAGCTTTACCTTATCACTCTCTACTGCCCATCAGCTATAAAATATGACTTCCTTTTACTTTAGTACTTCCATTAAAATGTATTTCTAGGGAATTCCCTGGCAGTCCAGTGGTTAGGACTCCATGCTTCCACTGCAAGGGGCAAGGGTTCCATCAGGAAGCTTAAGATCCTGCAAGCCACACAGTTGCGGCCAGAAAAAAACAAACAAAAAAAATTGATCTCTGTCTCTTTGCAGTTAACACATTTAGGTGATTATTATGTTCAGTGTAGATTGTGGAGTCATATATCTGTATGCCTGTTAAAGCTAAAACCGATCTGTAAGTTCATGTTTCTAAATCCAGTCTCCAGCATGGCAGGTGTCCGTCAGAAACTTCTGGGTTTGTTGAGAATTCTGAAGTGGAGCTCTGGCTTATCAGCAGGATTTTGTTGTGTTTTGTCGTTGTAGCCTGAGATTCCTGAATGCATCTGCAAACAAACTGGAAACCCTCCCTCCAGCCACACTTTCAGAGGAGACCAACAGCATCTTACAGGAGTTGTATTTGACGAATAACAACCTCACAGATAAGTGTGTGCCTTTGTTAACCGGACACCCCCATCTGAAGATTCTTCACATGGCCTACAACCGACTTCAGAGTTTTCCCGCAAGGTAAAAGATTACAGAGTGGCATCCTTCATTGCATATCTGAAGATGGGTTCATAGATGGAAAGGCCAAAACTAAAATGTTTATTTTCCAAATAGTGTAAAGCTATTCCTCTTTTCTATAAGCCATTATCAACATTGTGTTAAAGAGGAGTGTGTTTATTTTTCTAATATGAATGTATCCAAGGACCCAATTGCTAGAATGTTCTTATGATTTTGAAACAAAGTATGTTATTTACAAGGTGTATTTTTTCTGTTGCTTCCTATTAACCAGTCAAATTAATTTTTTAAAAACTTAACTTAGTATGGTGAGAGAGAATTAGAACATTAACTAGAAACATGAAGGTTCTTAATTCGCTAATAGCTTCATATTTGTGTTTATGGTATAAAAACAGTGGTGGCTTATTTGATCATAGAAACTGTGACATTGGAAATAATTTATGGCTCTCAAAATTACACTTTTAAGTCTATTTTAATTTGAATTTGTAATCTGGGAAACAGTAGCACTGTGTCTTGCTTTGAGTGAATCTGCACACTGAGCCTGCCATGGAGGACTTACTCTGCTTCTGTGTCACTGGCATTTATCCTTTAAAAAGTCAGGTCCTAGAGCTCACACCCACATGTCAAAGAAGCAAACAGTAACCCCTGTGGTATTCTACTGTTAACTGCAGCTTAGCGTTGAGCCAAAGCAGAATATTGGCACAGCCTCCCTCTGTGGCCATCAAGGTTAGCAGTCTGTTGAAGCCCTTACTAACACGGGGAGGCCCAGATATGCATTGACTTCTAGTATTGCCCTGTTTTGTAGTATACATTTATTTATTTTCTCCCACTCATTTGATGTTAATGTTTAAGCTTTTCTTTTTTCTTTTTAATTGTTATGTGTTTTTCTTTTATTATGGAATGAGATGATAGTTTTAGAAGAAAACATAGTAGTCCCATAAGGATAACATCCCTGAAAGGGCTCCCTGTCCTCTTTGAGATGGTTAGTGACCAAGCACAGCAGGAGAAATGGTCATGCACTCAGGTTCTGAGGGTTTCCCCAGGGACCCAGGCCACTGGTGACCGCCCTGAATATAGAAACTTGTCCTTTTTTCACCTTCATTCTGTGTTGAGGCATAGAAATTTCCGTAACATTTTCTCCCTCGGGCCTGACTTCCGTATTTTAAATCTTTTTTTCATGCCTGTTGCTTATTGATTTCTTCCCATATCTTTTCAAAATATGACGACATATTCAACTAACAACCTCACAAATTCAGGCTCTCATAGATGGGTTACTCGACAGTCTGCATACAGGGGTGTTTATAGTATATCCTAATCCCATGTTGAATGTTTATGATATTAAAAGATCTGATTTCATAAGATAAAAACTTAGTTCTTGTATCTTTGGTATATGTCTTTGAGTAATCAAATAAAGTAACCTTTATTTTTGAGAGGTAACAGAAGGCAATAAAGGGTTTCTTGCTAAATTGTTTGTATGGTTTATTATGACAAGTGAAACTGAACCAGGCAGGTAAGATATAATAACTGTAAACTAAATGATTCACATTGTAGGTTTGAGTTGCACTCACTGATGCCTGTTAAGACTCCAGCATCACCTGCGGTGGAAAAGGGGTCAGAGGAGTGATAGATGCATATAGGACTGGGGGTGGGGGCGGGGGAACTTTCTCCCTTTAGATTTACAGAAAATATAGGAAACCCCTAACTCTGGAATTTTTCTTTATTTGGTTACTGTAATTATTGATTAATTAATGTTAATTCTAGACCATAGGTTAAGATTAAACAATAAAAGACATCCTTAAACAAAAACATTAAATTATATTGAAAGTGAAATTCACTCAGTCATGTCTGACTCGTTGCGACCCCATGGATTACACAGTCCTTGGAATTCTCCAGGCCAGAATACTGGAGTGGGTAGCCTTTCCCTTCTCCAGGGGATCTTCCCAACCCAGGGATCGAACCCAGGTCTCCCACATTGCAGACGAATTCTTTACCAGCTGAGCTATCAGGAAAATTACATTAGGGTGTGTTATTAAGGTAAAGTTAGAAAGGTGCTTTCTTTGTAGATATTTAGCAGAAGTTGAGAGAAATTTCTTTGGGTGCAGATGGAATTTGGCTCAGCCAGAAGATCTCTTGTTGGCTCAGACAATAAAGAATCCACCTGCATTGCAGGAGACCTGGGTTCGATCCCTGGGTGGGGAAGATCCTCTGAGGAGGGGAAAGGCTACCCACTCCAGCATTCTTGCCTGGAGAATTCCATGGACAGAGGAGCCTGGTGGGCTACAGTCCATGGGGTCTCAAAGAGTTGGACACAACTGAGAGACTAAGACACTCACACAGAAGGCCTGGAGGTGATCCGGGTGTCCCGCAGCATTCTCCTCCTCACCGCCACTTTGTTTTCACACGTTATGTCGGAGGAGTGTGGGGAGTGGGGTTTCAGGAGAAAGCATATCTTCATATAAGCTGTTCCCTCTTCTCCTCTGTACCCCCTTGAGGTTTCAGTGCCAATACAAAGAAAGCCTACTCTTACACTAAGCTCTTTTAAAGCACATATACTGGATCAGTGCTAACTTTTGACCCATTTGAGTAGGATTTTCAAGTTCTGATTTGAAGTTCAGACTAAGCCACATAGTGAAGTGATTGTTGTCAGGATAACTTAATTCACACACAGAGTTTTAATAGGAAAAGGACATCCGTTTTTCTTCTTGTTGCCAATTTAAAGAGTTGAAGCTGAGACTTTTTGTTTTGTAGTAAGAAAAGTGTGTGTGTTTGTTGCTCAGTCGTGTCCAACTCTGTGCGACCCCAAGGACTGTAGCCCACCAGACTCCTCTGTCCTTGGAATTCTCCAGGTCAGAATGCTGGAGCAGGTTGCCATTTCCTATTCCAGGGGATCTTCCTGACCCAGTGATTGAACTCGGGTTTCTCGCTTCTCATGCATTGCAAGCGGATTCTTTACTGTCTGACCGACCAGGAAAGACCCCTGTAGTAAGAAAGGAGGTGTTAAAATACTTTGATCCTCAAAAAGAGTAGTGAAAAAGTGATTTAACAAATCATTTGTTAAAATGATTCTAAGTGAATCTTTAAAGAATCTTCAGACTAAATTACCCTTTGGTTCTCATTATCTATTATTAGTATTTTCTTTTTAAATTTCCTTCTAATTATTTTGTGACTTGTCCACCTTGGATTTTCTCTTTCTTTAGTAAAATGGCAAAACTGGAGGAGCTTGAAGAGATTGACCTTAGTGGGAATAAACTGAAGGCCGTCCCGACAACCATCATGAACTGCAGACGCATGCACACGGTGACTGCTCACTCCAACTGCATCGAAGTCTTCCCTGAAGTTATGCAGCTCCCGGAAATCAAGGTATGTGGTCCAAGCCCGTAACCCCCAGCCTTCAGGTCTGCAGAGAGACTTGTTTCCTCTGAGTCACCAGTTCAGGATGTTGGCATCCTCATTGGGTCTCCTCAGAATGAAGACATCTCTGTTATTCTTGCCCCATCCTTCCTCACTGCTGGGCCACACTGCTGAGTTGGCCAAGGTGGGAGGGGGAGGGGAACCATTAAACAAGAAACCCTGGACTGGGAGTGGGGAAGGTGGCTCCGAGGTCAAGAATCTGCCTGCAGAGATGCAGGAGACCAGGTCCCATCCCCGGGTCAGGAAGATGCCCCGCAGGAGGGGACAGCCGCCCACTGCAGTGGAGGGTCCCATGGACACAGGAGACCGGGCCCCATCCCTGGGTCAGGAAGATGCACCACAGGAGGGGACAGCCGCCCGCTGCAGTGGAGGGTCCCATGGACACAGGAGCCCGGGTCCCATCCCCGGGTCCGGAAGATGCCCCGCAGGAGGGGACAGCCGCCCACTGTAGTGGAGGGTCCCATGGACACAGGAGCCTGGCGGGCTGCAGTCCGTGGGGTCACAAGGGATTGAACACTACTTGCGACTGAACAGCATCAGTCGCATAGCCGCCTCGCTCGTTCCCATCATGTCTAACAGCACCTGCCGCACCTTTCCTCAGGGTGTTTGTGAGACTCAGACACTGACCAGGCTCGATAGGAGTTCGGCAGAGCCAGCAGCACCACTGCACCCCACGCCCTGATTAAACAGCAGCGTCCCCCCAGCACTGTGGAGTAGTAGTAATTCCCTGGGCAGATGTAGTCTCACTGCTGCTACTATGACCAGAGATTCACTTCAGTTGAATGATGCTGGCAGGACAAGTAGTATCTCCCACGTGGCAGGCAGGGAAGCTGAGGTGCTGAAAAAGAAGTGGTTTATGTCAGTGAAGAGAGCAGCTTGGTGGCAGAGACTTTCTGCACCTCCTGACCCTGAGCACTCTCACAGGATGAAACCAGTTCACTAGAAGGAACGTCATCTAATGATTTTTTTTTTTGGCCCAAGGATTAGGAGTTTTTTTCTTTTTTTTTTCGGCTTTTTTGTTTTTTCTTTTTTTCTTTAAAAAAAAAACAACTCTGGCTATAGACTCAGGATATATTCTGATCTCCTAAAAAGGAACAAATGTCATCCTATTTGAAGACACTTTGAATAACATGAACGATTTTTCATCACAGGAGTACATTTACATGGTTGAGGTGTGTATGAGCCGTGTGATAAGTGTGTGTGTGTATGTGCTTTAGGCCATGAAGTATTTTATTGTGAGCACTGTCTTCTCATATATGACTGTGGCATTTTACAACACTTACTGAAAACTAGCAGAATTTTTCTTTTTTGGCCACGCTGTCTGGCTCGCGGGATCTTAGTTCCCTGATGAGGGCTGGAGCCCGGGCCCCTGCAGTGGAGGCACAGAGTCTTAACCACCACACCACCAGGGAAGTCCCAGAAGTATTCTGTTTTTACTTTATAGCACCTTTTACAGTGGGTAAGAGGCAGGCTTCTGAAAGGAATCGATCTAGAGTTGGATTCCAGCTAAAAGTCACTTAATTGTTCTGTTTCCTCATCTGTACAGTGAGGGAAAGAACAGTACAGAGTTGCAGTATTGCTGTGAGGATGAAATGAAATATAACATGTAAAGCATCTGAAATAGAAGAACTCTTAAGGAGAGTGCTAAATGTGGACTATTATTAGTGACAAGGCTTCCATAGGGGTCAGCTCTGATGTTGATTATATGGAGCAACTGTTTTGACTGATGATCAACAAAATCCAGGAAACCTGTCGCTTAAGCACAGGCTTCTCTGATTCCAGCACAGGAGCTGTGTTGACAGCTGAGCCTGCTGGGGGCTGCTGGCCAGCTGACTCTGGGAGGGGGTGTGGTGGGTCATGGGTGCTCATTAAACAGGGCCCTGTGCACCCCGGCCTCCGGGTTAACCTCCCGTGTGCTGTCTTATTTTCTGCACCTGTCTTTTAATGTTATCAAACTCTTAGTTGTAGATTCTTTTGTTTTTAAGTATCTGGTTTAAAATATGGATAGACGTTTACACTTTTCAAGTTTTGACTAGATTTTGCACAATGTGAATGTTGTCCTGCAAAAGCAAACTTTCTCTTAGACTCTTCCTTGGGTTCCTGGCTTTTAAAATTGGTGCCTTTGTGTTTCGTTTAATTTCTTCCCTGTTGTCTGCTCTCTGTGCCCTGATTTGCAGCCCCTGCGTTGGGGGTGGGGGAGGGTGTGTGGCTGGAGCTACACCAGTGGCTTGTGGGGTCTTAGTTCCCCTTCCCCAGGGTTTAAACCCAGGGCTCTGGCAGTGAAAATGCAGGGTCCTAGCCACTGGACCACCAGGGAAGTCCTACAGCCACTTTTAAAATGTTACTTTTGGTGTTATTTTTTAATAGTTTTTTCTTAATCCCAGATATTATATCTTAGCATTTTCCTTATGTTAAAAATGTCCAGTCTTTCTGACCCAGCAATTCCATGACCAAGAGATATTTTGTTGTTGGGGTTTTATTTGGAGGGGCGGTGATGCTCTGTATCAAGTATCCTTTATATACAAAAGTATGAACTTTGCAGCCCTGGACAGATAGTGTTATTGAAAAAGTAATAGTTACATTGTTTGAGAACTCTGGATTGATATTTTGGTGTTATTTCATATGAGAAACAACTCATTCATATTTCATATGAGAATATTTTAAGCAGCTATGTAAGTATTTACACACATTTAAACCATCCAAAAGAAAATTGCTGGTAAAAATAGTGGCTGATAACAAATGATAAAATACCTATAAGAGTCATCACTGCAAACTGAGCCCTAATGCATGTTTTTAATATAAAAGAAATCATTTTTTATAAGTTGAAATAATCTAGCCTATGTTAAAAATTTTATTGTGGTTCAGATGGTGAGAATCCATCCACCTGCAATGCAGGAGACCCAGGTTTGATCCCTGGGTTTGGAGGGAAGGTCCCCTGGATAAGGAATGGCAACCCACCCCAGTATTCTTGCCTGGAGAATCCCATGGACAGAGGAGCCTGGCGGGCTGCAGTCCNTTGTGGTTCAGATGGTGAGAATCCATCCACCTGCAATGCAGGAGACCCAGGTTTGATCCCTGGGTTTGGAGGGAAGGTCCCCTGGATAAGGAATGGCAACCCACCCCAGTATTCTTGCCTGGAGAATCCCATGGACAGAGGAGCCTGGCGGGCTGCAGTCCATGGAGTCACAAAGAGTTGGACATGACTGAGTGGCACTAGTAATCCTAGATTATATTCTTAATGCTTCTTGAAAATAAAGTACAGTAATTGTAAGGTGTTTCATATAAAGTGTTAAAATCATTGCAATTATAAACATTAGCAGATAACATAATTTTAAAAAGAATAAGGTTCTATTATATTTAGCTAGTTCTCCGTGAGCAGTCTCATCTTTTAAGAAGGAGAGGGCTTGTTCACAGCTTTGTTACCAAAGCTTTAAAACCAATTATCATTTAAAAGAATAAAGTTTTCTTATTAAAATATATATACTAAAATGTAATTTTTGAAACTTGTAAAATTAGGCCATTATCCGCATACCCTTTCTAAAACAGAGACCACGTGCCTCCCCTAATCTTGGATAAAATGTGGGTGTAGGCTTCCCTCATTTTGGTGCATTCAGTGATATCTCACCGAGTGATCGTCAGGCAGCAGATTCTCTGTGTGGGCCAGAAGTCATATAAGTTAGTAGGAAAAGGTTAATTTTTTAGAGTTTCCTGGTGCGCTCGAGGGCACCCAGTCATAGAAGCTTTGCTCCCTAGGATTACTGTCTTCACCACTGTTCGGCACTTTCTTCCAAACCCACCACCAATCCTGTGTCCTGGAGCAGGTCGTGTTCCGTTCTGATTCTAAAATAGACACACCTCCTTCTGGATACAGAACCGCTTGGTCATCAGCTAGAGAAGAACACCTGGTCCTCGAGTCCCCACGTCAGCCAGGCTTGGCGTGAGGTCCCAGCGACGTCCTGTCTGGGCTGCGGTGCTGGTGGCCCAGAGAGCAGCGGAGCCGCCTGGGCAGCCCTCGGCCCCTCTCGCCCAGGCCCCTCACCTCGCTCCTCAGCGGTGACAGCGAGACTGTAGGAGCTGTGCAGCAAAACCCCAGCTCTTCGTTGAATGACTTCCAATTAGTGGCAGATTCCTACCATTTTCAAAGTGGGGTTTAAGCAGGTGAGATTTAAACACCATATACCAGCAACTTTGGTCAAATTTTCCATAGGGTCCTGATTCTGGCCCCTAGGTGAACAGCATATTTTAGAATGTTTTAAGTTCTCCCCAGAAGGTTATTTTCATGTTTGTGCTGTGAAGTAATAAACCATTTGGACAAGTTGAGTGATGTCATCTCTAGGACTGTTGTTTTCACTGGGAAATGGAGTACAAAATGTTTTTAATACGCCACACTCTTGACAACAATGGCTCCAGGAAGTTGAATTTCCCTTGGAATCAAGCCGTGTTTGTTGTTTCTGAAGTGGGATGAGAGCAAGAGAACCAGCTCAGTCATAAAACACAAAGCATGTGGGGAAGTGATGGGTCAAAGCGGATGAAAGAAAAGGCATTAATTCTTTGGAAAGGAGGGTAAGGGAAATAAAGACACACCAGGGACCGGTTAGGTGGCAGTTTGGGTGGGGTAGCTGACCTTCTAGACTCAACAGGTCACCCAGGAACTGAAATATCCAAAAACCAGGAAACAGGAACAATTGTCTTTCTGATCCTGGAGTCTAGGTATTAGTTATTTAGGAATTCTTCTAAAATTTGGGGAATCTGGCATCCATTCCTGTTTGGAACAAAAGCTGTGGAAAAGGAATGAAGCAGTGTCTCCCAGGACAGGGCCATTGAAGCCGCTTTTCCCCCTGCCGCACTGGCCACACAGCCCGCAGGAAACTAGGCCTGAACAGTCTCTCTCTCTGAGTCAGGATAATGTATTATCTCAGACAGATTGGTTTGTTTTTTTAACTCAAGTTTGAAAAATTATTTCAGCAGGTCTTTTAAACACAAAGCCACGCCCTTTCCAACCAAATACTGCTTCATCTTATGAAGTGGGCTGTGTGTACATGCAGATAAACAACTGGCCCTCTGAGAGTCGTGTGTGTGTGAAAAGCATCTCTTCAGAGATGCTCCGGGGAAAGGCGCACTTGTGACCGTGAGTCCTCAGGGAGGTTGGCTGGGAAGTGGGCGCTGTCATGCTCTCGACAGTCTCCTATCCACAGGGAGAAGAGAAGTAAGATCATATGCCCCAAAGTCTGGAATATCTATAAACTGGAATCATCTATAAACTTCTTTGACATCTCCTTTCTGATCTAAAATTACATGTTTATTTTGTGTTCTACTCTTTTACCATTTCTTTTAGTTTTAATATAGAAGTGAAGGCTCCATAGTCTTCTAAGTAACACTGACGCCCCCAGAAGCACAGGCCAGGTGTCCTGTAAGTTTATGATACACCACTGAGTCTCCCCAAGGGCACACATAACCAGTTTTAAGAAGAAATGATGAAAAGGAATTGCTTAGCTTATATATAGGATGCATTTCATTAAAGTCAGATTTTAGAAATAGTTTTGGTGTTGAAGGGAATTTACTATTTGCAGCAATGGAATAGTAATTGGTGGATTGAAGATTTTTTTGAAAAAAGTTTTACCCTGATGGTCATTTTTGTCAAGGTGTTGCCAATAAGGTTTCCTAAATCTAAAATCCAGTTGAGAAAAATCAGAGATACTGTATATAAACTTAAAAGGAAGGGTCTTTACAAATTAATGGAGAAGGGAATGGCAACCCAGTCCAGTGTTCTTGCCTGGAGAATCCTATGGACAGAGGAGCCTCGTGGCCTGCAGTCCATGGGATCTCAAAGAGTCAGACATGACTGAGCAATTAACACTTTTACAAATTGAAGTTCTTCTTTTGCTTATTCAGTCCACAAGCATTAGTGGAAGACTATTAAAAGAATAGGCAATAGTGCTTGTAAGGAAAGCACTTACTGTCTGTGTTAGCACCAGAGGTCGTCACCAGGTATCAGCGTCCTGTACTTCTTAGGAATAAACCCCCTTCAGTATGCACGGCTGTGTAAGGGGTGTTTCTCCACTCAGCCTGCCCTTAATGAGATGAGTTCCCGTCTCATGCAGAAGCAGTCACATTTAAAAACATCGGTTCCTTTGCAGTGCTACTTACTCTAGACTGAATTTAACCTAAACATGTGTATTGCAGTTCCCATCCTAACAGATCCATTAAGATCCGTTCATTTATTCAGTCAACAAATAATTGGCAGGCAGTAGTTTGTTTCTCCTTGTGGTGAAAGCATCGGTCGAGCTTCTGCTTTGCGCAGTGTGCTAAAAACACATGAGACGTGGGAGGAGATGCAGCAAGGAGAGTGTGAAGCGTTCCATCCACAGAGGATGCAGTGCAAGGGCACAGACAGGTGAGAACAGGTTGGCGCAGAGTCCCTCTGACACAGCTGAACACCGCGTGAGGACGCGGGCACCAAAAGGCGGTCCAAAGGCCGCAGCTGAGGACTTTGGGGGCATGTTGAAGGGTGGCAGGGAGCGGCAGAGAGACTGAGGCTGGAGTGGAATGAGATAGAAAAAACCACATCAGAAAACCACCCCGGCAGCACCATGAGGAGCGGATCAGAGGGAAGTGAGGCTGAAACAACGTTGGGAAGTGCTCAGTGGTCAGAACAGGACGGTGGAACTAGATGGTGCGGAACTGGCTGCAGGGAGTTCAAGACTGGTGACCAGATGGGCCTGGGAGGGCTGGTGCATGAACCCGTCTCTCAGAATCTGTATCGCTGTCCCCAAGGTCACTTTTATAAATGATACCCCACGAACTTGTTTATCATCTGGTAATTTAAAGAAGGAGCAATTTTATGTCTATGGAATTGTAAAAGTTTACATCTTTAGAGGTAACATTAAAAACATTATTGACCAATTGCATAAAAGTCAGTGATGTTCCATAGTGTCTTTAATCTTTTCCCGTAATACATACTCTGACCTCTGAATTCGTTTGTGTCAACCATTTAACCTTCTGTGTTACCAGCACCTGTCAGTCCTTGAGCTCATGTTTCATCACCATCAGGAGACTCTGTTGATACCGTGTGATGTGCTGTTTTCTCTCTACTGATATATACGGACCGTGCTACCGGAATAGCCCATAATGATGCAGTATTATCAGGGTTTCATTCAAGTCCAGGTGGCATACAGCCATTATTTATAATTGGAAAAACAACAAAAAGGAGGAGATGACGATGTCCCTATTATTAACATTTAGATTAAGTGAATTCTTGCACTTCTGTTCAGAGTATTAATGCTATCAAAGGTGATGAGAGAGAAGATCTGGAATAAGTGAAATGTAATGAAATTGTACCTACATTTATGATTTTTATATTTTAATAATAAGGCTAAAGAAAGATACAGAACTCTAACACTGGTTATGTTCAGGTGTTACAGGGTAGTGGTGGTGGTGTAGTCACTCAATCATCTCTGACTCTTTACGACCCCATGGACTGTGGCCCGCCAGGCTCCTCTGTCTGTGGGATTCTCCAGGCAAGAGTACTGGAGTGGGTTGCCATTTCCTTCTCCAGGGGATCTTCCCAACTCAGGGATCGAACCCAGGTCGCCTGCATTGCAGGCGGACTCTTTACCATCTGAGCCACGCTGGAAGCCCTAGTCCGTCGTAAATGTTTAGGGCTAAACAGCAGACAAACATAGTTCCTGCATTTGGCCGTCATAGTGCAGTGAATCGTCAGACTGATTCTCCTGCAACAGAGCATTAGAACCACTTGAACCACGTCTGCAGACCATGTCTTCTTTTTTCCACTTTTCCTTCAGTGCGTGGACCTGAGCTGTAACGAGCTAAGCGAAGTCACGTTACCAGAAAACCTGCCTCCGAAGCTGCAAGAGCTGGACCTGACTGGAAACCCCCGACTCGCCCTTGACCACAGAACCCTGGAGCTGCTGAAGTGAGTCCTTCGTGAGGCGCCGCATCCCCTCACTGCAAACATTGAGTGGAATGGGAAGTGTCTGACTCACTAGGTCTGTCTGCACAGACTTGAAGTGAAGTGATTTGTGAGTCTGTAGTTCACCAAGATGGACGGACAGCCAAAAATTTTTTTCAGATAATTGGATACTCCTGTCCTTCCAGAAAGTTTTTAAGAAAGTGTTCAGACAAAAAGAGATGAGAATAATGAAAACAAAGTAGAAAGGGAGATTTAAAGACAGGAGACCTGCAGCTCTCCCCACTGTTTTAACAGGATGCAGAGGCTTGGCCCAGGTCCCTCAGTGTGCCCGTACCTTAGTCTTTTCATCTTTAAGGGAGGGTGGTCTACACGCGTCTAAGGGACTTTTCAGAACTAAGAATATGTGGGTTATCAAGACATATTTCACCCTTACACAGGTAACTTTTGAGTGTTTAGAAATATGACATGTCATTTTGTGTTAAAAATAATTGTATAAAAATGTGTTAATAAGTGAAAGCAGCTCTTTGGAGAAAAATAAAAGTCAAATTTCTATTGCACACCAAAATAAACTCCAGCTAAATTAAAGAGTTAAATCTATAAAATGAAATAATTTTTAAAAGTAAGAAGAAATCATATATATTCACAAACCAGAAAAGAACTTTTAAGGCCAAAAAAGAGAAGGGGAATCACAAAAGAAGTCAGTATATTGGTATTAATATTTATGTTATATGTAGTTATGTGTGAGTCAATAATGCTAATACTCATTCAAGCAGAAAATAAGCACAGGACATTAACATTTAATAAACAAAGTACAGACAGTTACATGAAAAGATCATTATGCAGCTTTATTAGTGTATCAAGGAAATATTAAATGTTTAAATAATGACATTTTTCCTCTCAAATTGGTGCTGATGGAGGATTGTCGTTTTATATAAGTTTTTTAAAAAGCCATTGGCTCTCTGTTAGATTTTTTAAAAAGTATTCGTATACCTAAACAAGGTTTTCTGTGGTAAAAATTTTATTCTAAAAATAATCAGAAATGTGTTCATTTTAGGCATAGGGATAGTCATCAAGATATTTCTAATTACATTTAGGATGACTACAAAATCACACAGGGAGATTTTCATGACGTAATTAGAAAAAAAATGCAAAACCATATAGTTAATGGAATGACCCCACTATTATACAGGCCTAAAACGGTGCCCGTTAAATTCTCTACTAAAGAGTATATGGTACTGGAATGGCTGGAGTGCCTGTCGTGAAGCACAGGTGTGCTCCCAGATTTAAAAAGATGAGTAACAGGCAATGACATCATAGCACTCTTCAGGTAAAATCGTCACCCTCTGTTTAATATCTAGAAAGTTGTGGCCCCTTAATAACCTGGTAGAGGTTCCATATCTAATGTGTAACTTAGACCCTCTGTCAAGGGCTGGCTGGTCTGTTCTCCACAAGGCAGCGTCAGTCCATGTGGTGACCCTTCTACAGGGTTAAGCTCCAGCTCCCAGACCCCCTCAGCCTCCTCTCAGGATGCACACGAGTCCGCGCCCCGCTCACTTCAGAGGGCCGCCTGGTCGCACTGTTCTCAGCCTGGCGGAGGATGAGGGCTGCTTCACTGGAAAGGACTGGGGCGGGGGGGAAGGGGGCAGGGTTATTCTTTTCTTTAATAATCAGGCTAGGAAATGGAATTCTTTAAAGGCTCTCTGTTCTGTTTTTTGTTTTTTTAGTATATATGTCTTTAGAAAGGAACGTTCCATTTTTCTCTAGAATTCAGAAAGGTAAGCAAAAAATGCAGTGAGAACCTATAAGACATGCCTTAAGAAACCCAGTGCATTGCTTACCATGGTACATGGATCACATCTGGTACCAGGTCATATGGAAAACAAACAACAGCAGGTCTTTTTTAAATACCCCTTTTATTGATGTGTTTGAAAAAAGGATATATCCCCCTGATGTAAAATGAGGTATTTTATTTCAGAATTTTCCATTGGCACCCTCTGTGATATTTATGTTTCTCAGCTTTTTAGGATAAGGGAAAAGTGATGCCTTCTGGTAGTTAAGAGTAGAAGCTTCTGTTTAATGAAATAGTTTTAAATTTCAAAGAAATTGCCACCAAATATTTCTAGAATCAAAGTTAATATTATTGGGTGTTGATTTGCTTCTTAGTTGACTACTTCTTGGGAAAGGTATTCCGTGTTTATTATATTGTGGAGTTAATAAATGCCAACAGATAATTTAAGTTCTTGGGCTCAGGACAGAAGTGTTTAGGTTTTGAAATTATATGCCCTTTCTCTTAATTAATAGGGGAAAAAAACTAGTGGCAGTTTACAAATAGGGATTTATCTCACCGTGTGGTAGGCAGCCTTTTAAGGACCTGCTACATATCTGTATGACTTCGTGTTCATGGGCATTGAATGCTTTCTCATAGGCTGGTTTTTAATGAACTGAGTTTGAGGGTTTACTCTTAATATTTCTGGTTGTCATCCTATTGGGCCAGTTACAGCATACCACAGCCAAGGTGAGATAAGAACTTATCTTCCCGTTTATATATATGTAGTTAGCATGAAATTTATCGAATTCCCCTCATTTATTTCATAACTTTATGATGTTGGTCTCAGCATGGTTGGCTGTGCACGTGAGGAAAGAATTGGAAGCATCAGGGAGCGGCAAGTCCCCAGTAATGTTCTATAAGTATTTAAAGGGGTGATATGAGCAGATATTGGATTTAAGGATGAATGTTGCAGAACTCTCTTGCATCATCCAGGCAAAGTACGATTGTAGCTGAGGTTTCGTTCTTTTCACATCTGAGTTTCATGTTGTGAGAACACACCTAACTTAAATAGTTCCTGTTCTCATGCCAAGGCTGAAAGCCTTCCATTCCCAGCAGAGAGCAGCCGTCCAGGGCGGTGAGTGTGAAAGCGCTTAGTAACCGCCGCTTGACGCTAATGAACTCGTTTCTGTGCTCTGTGTGTATGCCCCTTGGTTTCATTATGATGAGTAGCTGGTTCTTGCTGCTGATGAACATTTCAGACACATCAAACACAGTGAGAAATGGTAAGGACAGAGTGCTTAGGTGTTTCTCGTTTCTCAGGTGAAGGTAGCAATGAGCACCTGTTCTGTTTTAATGATTCCTGGCCCCTCTGTTTCTCTGATCAGTAATATCCGCTGTTTCAAGATTGATCAGCCTTCGGCAGGAGATGCTTCTGGAGCTCCAGCCGTGTGGAGCCACGGCTACACTGAAGCTTCAGGGGTGAAAAACAAGTAAGTTGAAACTTTGGGATGAGAGCTGCTGCCCTCCTGCCTCCCCGCCATAGCGGGGCAGAAAGAAGCCCCTCACTGGCACAGACTTCCCTGTGCCACCTTTATTCCGGCCTGTCTCCCCAGAGGGAGGCCACCACATGACTTAGGCGGGAACGTTAGCTCAGCCCTGCTTGGCATCATATCCTCCCTCTTTGTGAGAGAGGTTGCTAGGAGATGGTGTAACTGACACATTATGTCTCTGTGAGACTCCAGTGTTTGGAGAAGGCGTGAGTATTGAAACGCATCCCTGCTCTTTTGAAAAGCCCCTTTATCTTTCTCTGAAGCCTGTTTACCAAGCAAAACAGGAACAGTATTAAAGCAGCAGAAGTAGCCTTGATTGTCCTTATTCGCGATCCCTTACTGCACTGACAGCATTTTTGTGGAGCTGTCTTTTACAGTCTCAATCAGCTTGTCAGGAGTTTGATGTCCATTCTCTGTAATGTCAGCTGCTTGTCTTGCCTCCAAGTCCTGTCCATCTTAATTCCTTTCTCTTCCCTCTTTTCACCAACCTTCCTTGTCTCACATGCAGATGTTGGTTTCTTGAGAATCGTAATCCTGCTCTTCAGGCTTGCTTTTTATGAAGGGGTGCTGATAATCAGTGCGGGTGAAGAATCCGCCTGCATTGCAGGAGACGTAAGTGTGGCCCCTGGGTCAGGAAGATCCCCTGGAGGAGGGCAATGGCAACCCACTCCAGTCTTCTTGCCTGGAGAATCCCATGGACAGAGAAGCCTGGCGGGCTGCAGTCCATGGGGTCACAGAGTCAGATGTGACTGAGCGACTGAGCAGCGGCAGCAGAGAAGCAAAGGCTCCTATAACTCGGAAGAGGCGTTATTTCACTAGCGGCGATGTAAGACCTCAAAATGTTCAGAGCGGGCAGGGTGCAGGTGGACAGGAAGTGGAGGACGACCTCATGAAAGCCAACAGCCTTCAACCCGAGTTGCCCATGAGAATCAACCAGGCGAGGAGCTTTAAAGAGCATTCTCCCGCTGAGGACCGTTCAATCAGGACGCTTTAAAATCTCCCCCAGGCGACTCTAACGGGCATCCGGGACTGAGGCCTGCTGGCTATCTTTCCTTCATGGAAAGTAAAAGGTGGAACTATGGTTGCCGTGCTGACTGCCTTTCCTTGGGTCAGAAAACAGAACGGAAGTCACACTGTGGGTCTGACACGTCCGTCCCCTCCTCTCTCCCTGGGAGTGTGACAGGTATGTTAGAGGAGACGCACACTCCATTTATCACGTTAGGAAAGTCCCTTCTGTTCCTAGTTTGCTAAGAGTTTTCATAATGTGTATCAGATTTTTTGTCATAGGTTTTTTCTTCATCAGTTGAGGTGATCACTTTTTTTTCCTGTCTTAGTTGAGATAATGATTTTAAAATGTGGAATCCGCCATGCATTTTCAGCATAAGTTTCATGTGGTCATGATGTATTACCTTTTTATATTCTGCTGGGCTCAGTTTTCTACTAATTTGTTGATCATGTCTGTATTCACAGTAATTTTTCTCTTGTGGTGTCTGATTTTGATATCAGGGTGATGCTGGCCTCACCTCATAAACTGAGTTGAGGAGTATTTTGTCTTCAGGATTCTGCAGTCTTCTGGAAGAGTTTCTATAGCCTTGATATTATTTCTTCCTAAATTTTTGGTAGTAGTTGCCAATGAATTCCACCTGGACCTGGAGTTTTCTTTGGTTTATAACTAAATATATGATTTCTTTAATATAGGATTATCTCTCTCTTCTTGAATGAACTTTAGTAATTTGTGTCTGTCAAAGAATTTATCCATCTTCATCTAGTTTTCAAATGTATTGGCCATCATTCAGTCAGTCAGTTCACTCAGTCGTGTCCAACTCTTTGTGACCCCATGAACTGCAGCACACCAGGCCTCCCTGTCCATCACCAGCTCCCGGAGTTTACTCAGACTCATGCCCATCGAGTCGGTGATGCCATCCAGCCATCTCGTCCTCAGTCGTCCTCTTCTCCTCCTGCCCCCAAACCCTCCCAGCATCAGGGTCTTTTCAAATGAGTCAGCTCTTTGCATCTGGTGGCCAAAGTATTGGAGTTTCAGCTTCAGCATCAGTCCTTCCAATGAACACCCAGGACTCATCTCCTTTAGAATTTCCTGACCTGCATACAGGTTTCTCAAGAGGCAGGTCAGGTGGTCTGGTATTCCCATCTCTTTCAGAATTTTCCACAGTTTATTGTGATCCACACAGTGGAAGGCTTTGGCGTAGTCAGTAAAGCAGAAATAGGTATTTTTCTGGAACTCTCTTGCTTTTTTGATGATCCAGTGGATATTGGCAATTTGATCTCTGGTCCCTCTGCCTTTTCTAAAACCAGCTTGAACATCTGGAAGTTCACAGTTCACGTATTGCTGAAGCCTGGCTTGGAGAATTTTCTTGAAGAGATCTCTAGTCTTTCTCATTCTGTTGTTTTCCTCTGTTTCTTTGCATTGATCACTGAGGAAGGCTTATCTCTCCTTGCTATTCTTTGTAACTCTGCATTCAAATGGGTGTATCTTTCCTTTTCCTTTGCTTTTCGCTTCTCTTCTTTTCACAGCTATTTGTAAGGCCTCCTCAGACATTGGCTATAATATACCATTATTCTCCTTTTACTATCTGTAGGATCTGTAGTAATGTCTCTCCCCTCTCTCCTGATATACTTATCATCTGTCTTTTTATCCTGACCAAATTGGTTTCAGGTCTATCAGTTTTATTGATAATTCTCAAGGAACCAGCTTTTGGCTTCATTGAATTTTTTTGTTGTTGTTTTCTTTCTGTTTTCTATTTCATTGACTTCTGCTCTTATTTTTATTATTATCTGCTTGTTTAGATTTATTGTGCTTAATGAATTTCTAGCTTCTTAAGGTATAAGTTTGGGTCACTGATTTGAGCTTAGGGTATTAATATTCTAAGCATTTAGAGCTATAAATTTCCTCCTAAGCAGTTTTCCCAGTGTGGTTGGAGAACATACTTTGAATCACTTGAATCTTTTAAAATTATTAAGACATTTTCTGGCCCAAAATATGTTTATTATGGTAAATATTTTGTGTGCATTTGAAAAAAAATTGGGTACGTTGTTATTTAGATCAAGTTTGTTGAAAATGTTGTTCAAGCCTTGACTGTCCTTACTGATTTTCTGTCTACTTTTCTGTCAGTGCCTGAGAGACTGTAATTACAGGCTTGTCTGTTTCTCCTTGTGATTCTCTTAGTTTTTGCTTCATGTATTTCAAAGCTCTGTTATTAAGTGCATAAACATTTAGAATGTTACAGTCTTGTGATGAACTGACCCTTTAATCACTATAAAATAACTATTTCTGTAATGTTCTTCATGCTGAAATATATTTTGTCTGATATTAATGTAACTACTCTAGCTTCCTTTTGTTTAGTGTTAGCATAGTATAGTTGACCCATCAACTACTTCAGATTAAGAGGCACCAACCAACCATCAGAAATCCATGCATTGCTTTACAGTTAACCCTTTATATCCAAGGTTCCACATTTGCAGAGATTGTAATAGAGGGGGAAAAAATTAACACATAAGTGGACCTATGCAGTTTAAACCTGTGTTGTTTAGGGGGCCAGTGTATATCATTTCTAATCCTTTTTGCTTTTAACCTATTTGTCTCTATGTTTAAAGTATATTTCTTATAAGCAGCATATGGTTAAGTCTTACTTTTTAATATAATTTGAATCTTTTTGGGTAGTGTCTAGACCATTTTTATATTTAATAAAATACTGATGTGGTTAGGTTTAAATCTGCCAGTTTAATAATATTTGTCTTCTGTTTGTCTCATCTGTTCTTGATTCTCGTTTTCTTTATTCTTTTGGGTTATTTCTTATTCCTTGTTATCTCTTGTATTTGTTCTCATGGGTTCTACTCTGTGTGTGTGTGGTTTGTTTTGGGTCTGTAGTATAACCTTGACCTTGTTCATTACGGTTTACCTTCGAGTAGTAGCATCCTTTCATATGTGTGATAAGAAGCTTACATTGTGTACTTCCACTTTCCCCTCCTTGTCTTTGTGCCATTATTGTCACGTTTTATACTTCTGCTTTTGTTATAAACCCCAGGATACATTATTATAATTTTTATTTTAAAGTTATTTCCCAAAGTATTTCTCAACTTCAGTATTAGTGACATTTTGAGCCAGATAATTATTTGTTGTTGGAGAGCAGGGGAGGGACGGGGTGTCCTCTGCATTTTAGGATATTTAGCAGCACCCTCGACTCTACCCCCTAGATGCCAATATCAACACCATCCCAGTCATTACACGCAAAGATGACTCCAGGGGGAAGAATGTCCCCTGCTGAGAACCACTGTTTTGTTCTTTCATTTGTGTTTTGGCTGCACCCTGCAGCATGTGGGATCCTGGTTCCGCAATGAGGGGTCAAGCCTGTGCCCCCCATAGTGAAGGCGTCAAGTCTTAACATGGACTGCCAGGGAAGTCCCGAGAACCACTGTCCTAACGTGATTTTTAAAATAAGAGAAAGAAAACGTTTACATGTACTAACCTCTTTGTTATTTCCGACGCACTCCATTCTTTTGTGTAGAGCAAGACTTCCATCTGGTAGGGCCATTTTCTTCTGCTCCGCCTATTTCCTATTTCTTGTAGTGCCGTCTTTTTGTGTGTGCATCTGAAAATGTCTGTTTTGCACCTTCACTTTCGGAAGCTGTTCTCACTGTTTAGAAAGCAAGGGTGGCGGTCTTTCTGTAAGTCCTTGAAGACGCTGCTGCCCGTCCTCCGCCTCCCGCACAGTTTCTGACAAGATCTCTGCCATCTCTGCTGTTCCACAGGGGGTGTGCTGTCCCTCTGCCCCCACCCCCACCTTCATCCCCGCTTTTCAGCAGTTTGATGTGCCTCAGTTAAACTTTTTTTACTTGCTTTCGCTTGCTGTTTGTTGAGCTTCTTGTCATTTTCATCAGATTTGAATATTTTTATCTATTAACTCTTCAGAATGTTTTTCCGCCTGTCTCTCCTCTCTCCTGAAGACCCCAGCTCCCTGCGTGTTAGGCTGCCTGAAGCCATCTCCCCACTTACCAATGCCGTGGCTTTTCGTTCCTCCCTGGCGCTGCCTGTTTTGGAGCGCGTGTGGGACACGGAGCCCCACGGACGCAGCCTAAGTGGAAGGACTGTGGGTCCCCCGAGCGCCGCGTGTGGCCCTCCTCCCGCTGGTGTGCACGTTTCTCTTCCTCTTCCCAGTGTTTCAGTGGTGACTCCGTTTTTGCTCCTTGTGGAAGTTTTCCTTAATAAACATTTTGTGAACGAATGTGGACATATGCATTTATAATCTGGTGTTATTCCCCATGCCTCTTACGGTCTTTCTTTCAGTGCTATTTAAAAATAAAATCATCAGAAGAAAAGAGTGGGGGAAAGCTATGAAGCATAAATACGTGCTCATTTTTCTTCACTTACAGAAATTAGTTGATGTAAATTAGCTGGGGTTCAGTCTTGTTGTTGTTCAGGCACAGTCATGTCCAGCTCTTTGCCACATCATGAACTACAGCACACCAGGCTCCTCTTCTCCTTTATTTTCCAGAGTTTGCTCAAATTCATGTCCATTGAGTTGGTGATGCTGTCTAACCATCTCATCCTCTGACACCTGCTTCTCCATTTGCCTTCAGTCTTTCCCAGCATCAGGGTCTTTTCTAATGAGTTGGCTTTTCATATCAAGTAGCCAAAGTATTACCTATTCTTAATCTACTCAGAGTCACGAAGAAAGAGACAAGACTGGATTAAGCAAATGGGAGAAGAACCACAGTTGGGTTGGGCATGGAGAAGAAAAGATGAGTTGACTCAGCACAGAAGCATGTTTGCTTTGCAGGTTGTGTGTTGCGGCCCTGTCGGTGAACAACTTCTGTGACAACCGGGAGGCCCTGTACGGTGTGTTTGACGGAGACCGCAATGTGGAAGTGCCCTACCTTCTCCAGTGCACCATGAGTGACATTTTGGCAGAAGAGCTGCAGAAAACAAAAAACGAAGAAGAATACATGGTCAACACGTTCATCGTTATGCAAAGGTAAAACTTAGAGCACCTGCTGTGGGCTTTCTTGTTCTTGTTCGTGATCAAATTTTAAAAGGCCAGGAGGTAAGTCATTCTTCAGATGGTGTGTGTGTGTGTGTGTGTGTGTGTGTGTGTGCGCGCGCACATGTGCATGCGTGTGCTCAGTCGTGTCCAGCTCTCTGCAGCTCCATGGACTGTACAGCCCACCAGGCTCCTCTGTCCATAGGGTTTCCCAGGCAAAAATACTGAAGTGGGTTAACCATTTCCTCCTCCAGGGGATCTTCCCAACCCAGGGATCAAACCCATGTCTCTTGCATATCCTGCATTGGCAGGCGGATTCTTTACCACTGAGCCACCTGGGAAGCCCTGTTCAAGACAGTGTTGCTAGAAGCATCATAGGCCTTTCCCTAGAGATTCTGGCCACCTGGAAGTTGCGGAGCGTTGTTTCTGACTCTGAGGGCTGAGTGTCGTAAGTGCCCCACATTCAAAGCCTCGCTCGCGCTGTCACTCTGAAGGCGTGTAGGCTGTGAAGGCGCGCCTGCTGGTGTTGCACTGCAAACGTTTGCTGCTGTGGGACCAGGAGGCAGAGAGCGCTTCAGAGGTCATGGGAACAGTGACGACCTTTTCTGCTCCGCTTCTTTTTCTCTCCCTTGATAATCTGCCAGAGGAAATACTTTGCGGCAGGGCTAGGAAAAGTGTCCTCTGAGGAATGCTGCCCCAGAAGCCTTGGCAGTTCCCCCAGGCATGAGGACTCCTGGAGAGCTCAGCAGAGGCGTCCCGGTGAGGTTCTGTGCCACAGCTCACCTCGGTGGGCATGTGCAGTTAATAATCGATGCTGATAACAGCTAATGTTTAGTGAGTCCTTAATATATACCAGTCATTGTTCTAAGTGCCTTAATGCCAAGAGGTGTGAGACAGGGACGTCTGTCTGCACAGCTGTCTACTTTTCTGTTTTGACCACCGTCTTGTTTCATAAAAAGGCAAACACGTATTATAGACACACGCATCACCTGGATAGCCCGCTCACACAGCCCAGAGGCCTGCTCTTTATGGACCCCAAGTACTGGGTCAGAGTTAAGAGCTTGAGACCCTCGAACCCTGGTCGCTGGCTGCACTTCCCCCAGATACAGCCCGAGCTCTAGCTTGGCTGGCAGAGTCACGGCCTCTGACAGCAGGGAAGCCGTGCTGCCTTGGTGGAGTCTGGAGCCAACGGCCTAGACGTGCCCGAGCTGGGGTCCGGAGGCCCCCGCCATCCGCCTGTCTTCGCGTCACTTCCTGCCTCGTTTTCCCTGTGGGTTAGTGGGATACAGGGCGTGTGGCGATGCTCGCAGTCCTTGCGAGAAGCGTGTGTCTGCTCTGCCAGCATCCTGATGCCTGTGATCAGGCCACCCTTGTTCCCATCCTTGGTGACCCCGGCCTGACCTACAGGGTCTGCCCTCGTGAACAGTGGGGTCCGTCCATCTGGCCCTCCCTGCTCCTGCCATGCCCAGGCTCAGAGTGGAGGCTCTGCCAGCCTCAGGCCTTGCTGGCGGGGGTCTGAGCGCCTTTTGATTGCCAACACTTGCAGGTGTCTTGTGTATTCAGTGCATGATGAACTCATGGCAAGTAAGAGCACTTTGGAGCCTGTCATTAGATGGTCTTTTCTGTAAATATTTGAGGATAGACCTCATTCCTCCAGGGAGTCGCACTGTGTAGGACCAGAACGTGAAACCCAGTGCATGAAGGCTCCTGCCCGCAAGCAGCCTGTGGGAGAGGGGTGATCAGCCATTCTGATGCGTCGGTGGGCGTTCATGCCTGCTCCTGTGCGGTGGTTCTCGGTCCTTCTCAGGAGCAGAGGGGTGGGGGAGACACGGCTCCCCCTCTGGTTTGGCCATGCTGATTCGGGCGCCACAGGCCACACCGAGCCGGGAGAGGGCTCTTCATCCCTCAGTGGCTCCTCGGCTTTGCATGGCGGAGCGGCACCGCCCAGCTGGGAGCAGACCCCCCGTGTGTGCCCATGTGTGCATCCAGTCTCACGGGCTCTTCCCCCAAGCTCTACTTCCCTGTCCCGTGGGGCCGTCTGGCAGCGGTGTGGGCTCTCAGCACTGTCTCTGTATTCCAGGAAGCTGGGCACAGCCGGGCAGAAACTCGGAGGCGCTGCCGTCCTTTGTCACATCAGGCACGACCCTGTGGACCCGGGAGGACCCTTCACCCTGACCTCCGCCAACGTGGGCAAGTGCCAGACGGTGCTGTGTCGGAACGGCAAGCCGCTGCCCCTGTCCAGGTCGTATGTCATGAGCTGCGAGGAGGAGCTGAGGAGGATCAAACGGTACAAGGCCATCATCACCGAGGTGAGAGGGCGTCTTCCTCGGTGGGGGGCGGGGCGGGGGAGGAAGACTGGGAGGAGGCGGCTGAGACTGGCTGGGGAGCATCTCCCTCAGCGTCCTGTAAACACCAAAGCTGAGCCGAGATTCCAGATCCGAATCCATAGCATCACAGACCAGACTCTGTGTGTGATGTGTCTGGGACATTATAACGTCTAGAATACAGAACAGGGCCAAAGGCCTCTCCGCGTCAGGGCCATCTGTTCCTCAGGTGTCCGCAGTGGGGCTCAGGTCCGGTGGCCTCTCTGCATCAGGGCGGGCACCTGGTGGCCTCTTCACGTCAGGGCAGGCGGTCACCCCGTCTCTTCTTCAGGGCGCCCGCCGAGGGGCTCAGGCCCAGCGGCCTCTCCACATCAGGGCGGGCGCCTGGCGGCCTCTCCACCTGGGAGCCAGGCGGTCACCCCATCCCCTCCTCAGGGCGCCCGCCGAGGGGCTCAGGCCTAGCGACCTCTCCACGTCAGGGCGGGCGGTCACCCCGTCCCCTTCTCAGGGCGCCCGCCGAGGGGCTCAGGCCCAGCGGCCTCTCCACGTCAGGGCGGGCGGTCACCCCGTCCCCTCCTTGGGGCACCCGCAGTGGGGTTCAGGCCCCACAGAGGTCACACTGCCCGCCCTCCTGTCTTCCTGGCTCTGGCGCCGGCAGGCCGTCACCTTTCAACCTCAACACCTCGGTGTCCTCCTGGGTGAGGTGGGTGTGGTGAGGCCCCCCGAGGCCAGCATACATATCAGTGTGAACTCACTAGTTCCTTCAGTTCGTGACTCCTGCTGCACTCGAACAAGGCGGTGAGGGATTCTCAACCAGGGGCCATTCCCCGGTCAACACCATAGGCACTTGGTAATGTCCGAGGACATTTTTGTTGTCACAGCTGGGGTGGAGAGTGCGTGCTTTTGGCACCTAGCCTGTAGAAGCCCGTAGATGTGCGTGCGTGATAGTCACTCAGTCACGTCTGACTGTCTGTGACCCCATGGACTGTAGCCCGCCAGGCCTCTCTGTCTCACGGATTCTCCAGGAGTGGGTTGCCGTTTGCTTGTCCAGGGGGTCTTCCCGACCCAGGGATCGAACCCTGGTTTCTCCCCGCATTGCAGGCGGATTCTTTACCGTCTGAGCCACCAGGGAAGCCCAGGTAGAAGCCAGGGACGCTGCTGAGCCCCCCACGGTGCGGGCCGGCCCCTCTGAGCCCCCCACGGTGCGGGCCGGCCCCTCTGAGCCCCCCACGGTGCGGGCCGGCCCCTCTGAGTCTCCCACGGTGCGGACCGGCCCCTCTGAGCCTCCCACGGTGCAGGCCGGCCCCTCTGAGCCCCCCACCGTGCGGGCCGGCCCCTCTGAGCCCCCCACGGTGCGGATCGGCCCCTCTGAGCCTCCCACGGTGCGGGCCGGCCCCTCTGAGCCCCCCACGGTGCGGGCCGGCCCCTCTGAGCCTCCCACGGTGTGGGCCGGCCCCTCTGAGCCTCCCACTGTGCGGATCGGCCCACCTGAGCCCCCCACGGTGCGGGCCAGCCCCTCTGAGCCCCCCACGGTGCGGGCCGGCCCCTCTGAGCCTCCCACGGTGTGGGCCGGCCCTCTGAGCCCCCCACGGTGCGGGCCGGCCCCTCTGAGCCTCCCACGGTGCGGGCCGGCCCCTCTGAGCCTCCCACTGTGCGGGCCGGCCCACCTGAGCCCCCCACGGTGCGGGCCGGCCCCTCTGAGCCTCCCACGGTGCGGATCGGCCCCTCTGAGCCCCCCACGGTGCGGGCTGGCCCCTCTGAGCCCCCCACGTGCAGGGCAGCCCCACAGCACAGTCTGTGGCCCGGAAGGTCCGAGTGCTGCTGCTGAGAAAAGCCGTCGGGCTGCGGCACAGCCTCCAGAATGGGCTGGAAGAGCCGGGCTCCGTTCACACATTCATCCTGCAGTGTGGGTCACCTCCGTGTGCCGGAAACGGGTGGGTGCTGTCGACGTGATTCCCGTGTAGACGCACATCTACCCACAGGAGGTGTCCAGCCTCATCTCGTCGATAAAGCCTGAGGAGCCGTGTGACGCGCAGGTGGACCATGGTGGAGGTCTGCAGTCGGCAGAGACAGACTGACTCCAGGACGGCTCCGACCAGGGCCATGAGGAAGATCTCCCGTGGGAGCCTGGGAAAGGAGTCTGCCTGTCGAGTCCAGTCCCCTTCCCGTTCTAAGAGCAGAGAGGACTAAGGTGGACACTAGATACCATGTAGGGAGTCTCAGATGGGAGTGTGTTAGATTATTACCTGTGTATTGAATTCCGTGCTCAACAGTACACAGTGCGGAGATTAACCATTTCCACTGAAGAACTTGAAGAATAAAGAACCAAGCAGGTACATCATGGGCTCCTCGCTCCAGCCTCGGAGTAAAAGCTTTTCACTGGCAAACTGTGAAGTTTTAGTTCACAGTTCAGATGGTGGGAACCCAGCTGGACTGAAGCAGGAGGTGTCATCGTCTGCATTTGCTGCCAGGAAAGTCAGCTCAGGGGTTACAGGAGCCGCCTTTCTTGTGGAATACATGTCTGCCTCTCCAAACACCTCACTCCTCCCCACCCAGTCTCACCGCGGTTTCCCCAGCAGTTTGTTTCAGCCTCAAGTTTAAAACTGCTCACTTCTGAACCTTCCAGCGCTACGCCTGCTGGTTGCTGGGCTGTGGGCAGCGGTCTGAGATGGGGGCCATCACGCTGAATTGCACCTGCCTGGGAGCGTCTGCCACCCACGGCTGGCTCAGCAGGCCCTTCCTCCCTGGACCCCTGTGCATTCCCAGAGATGCTGATCAGCCCCTGTTGCTGACTCAGCCAGGTGACTGTGTACTTTGGAGCAGACAGGTCCCAACACAGGGAATGCATGAAGCGCTTTCACGGTCCCTCCTGCTCCCTGCCTGCCGCGGGCTTCTGCCCTGGGTTCTGATGACAGGTGGCTGGGAGCCCCTCAGAGGAGGTGGACAGGCCTGCAGGGGAGCTTCCCCCATGCAGGAGCCCCGCCCCCCAACTCTCGGTCGTAACGTCTGCTTGGCAACCCCTCTCTTTCCAGGACGGCAAAGTGAACGGAGTGACCGAGTCCACGCGCATCCTGGGCTACACCTTCTTGCACCCCAGCGTGGTGCCCCGCCCACACGTGCAGTCCGTGGCCTTGAGCCCGCAGGACGAGTTCTTCATCCTGGGCAGCAAGGGGCTTTGGGACAGCCTGTCCGTGGAGGAGGCCGTGGGCGCTGCGCGCAGCGTGCCTGACGCGCTGGCCGCGGCCAAGAAGCTCTGCACCCTGGCGCAGAGCTACGGCTGCCGCGAGAGCGTGAGCGCGGTGGTCGTGCAGCTCAGCGTTCCCGAGGACAGCTTCTGCTGCTGCGAGCTGGCCGCGGCCGCCTCCCTACCGCCACCCAGCCCCGGTGTCTTCACGCCGGCCTCTGGTGCGGCCGCCCGGGAGCGGCCGGCTGACGGGCTGGGTGCGCCATCCTCTAGCAGCGGCCTGGCCTCCGAGATGAGCAGCGAGCTGTCCACGTCGGAGATGAGCAGCGAGGTGGGCTCCACGGCCTCCGACGAGCCGCCGCCACCAGGCGTGCTGGGCGAGGGCAGCTCNTGCGACACTCCGCTCTGACCCGCCCCGGGCCCCGCAGACCAGGGCCGCCCGCCGGCTCCAGACGGCTCCGCTGCCTGCAGGCCCCCCTTCTGTTGGCCGTTTAAAAAAATAATTACCACTTTTCTTCTAGTGATGCTTTACCCGTATGATTTCAATTTGTTAACCTCTTCCCCTAACATATCAGATGTGTAAAGACGAAGAACAAAAGGTTTAATATATTACAGAGAAACAGTTAATGTAATGTTTTTTAAAATGGCTTTTTTGTTGTTCTGTTTGTGTGGAAGGCAGGGCAGGTTGCCAGTGCTTAAATGATTTAATAATAATGTAATTATTTGTGGGGGGAAGACGTTTTTTTTTTTTTTTTTTTTTTGTCTTGAAAATGATAGACATTTGTAGAATATGGAGACTAACTCCTAGGAGTTGTTTTACTCTGTCAGGTGACTGAAGTCACTGGGATTCACTAATTTTCTCTGAGAGAACCGTTGATTGAGAAATTTCTATTGTAAATAGCTCCATGTTGTATAGTGATGCTTCAGAATTTCGTAGCTTTGGCGTAAGGGACACAGACTGAACAGCTGATTCCCGGTGTCGTCCCCCCCCCCCCCCCCGCGCGCCCACAGGGTCTCCCACTGATGCGCCTGAGCCCTGCTGAGGGCACTGGAAGGGACCTGCCCCCAGGGGCCGCTGACCCGCTCCTCCTCCTCCTCCTGTTCCCGCCCAGCCCCTTCCTTTTGCAGACACTTTTTAACTGTGTTCCTTACTGCTGCCACAATCAGCATGATTGTGTAAGCATTCAGTTAGATCCTTTACATACCGAGAGTTATATTAAAGCAGAATGCACAAATGAACATGTCATAATTTTGGTATAATAAATATAAAATTTACAAGTCCCGGACCCATCTGCTTTTGTCTGGGGAGCCAGGTGTGTCTTGCAGATGATCACGCCCAGCTTGGGTTTGGAATGAATGCATGTAACTTTGGGGTTATCTGGTGCTTCTGTCTTTGATTTTTTTTTCTTTTGAAGAAAAAATAACCCAACAGGTTAAAGTACCTTGAATGAAGGTAGTGAAATCCACCCTGTAGTTAACAATATGTGTAGCTGGTTTACAGCATTTCTATTTCCGGTTGTTACTGTGTAACATATAGATATTAAAAGGGGAATAGATAAGGTTGCATAGAGGAGATCCCAGGAAAATCCCACAAAACCAAGTCTGTTTCCCTTTCTCTCAGAGGCCCCTCAATCATGTGAACCAGTTAGTTGACTTTTTTTTTAATTGGATATAGTTCTTTTTTACATTGGAGTATAATTAACAGTGCACATACAGAGTGAAAGTCCAGAGCTGACTGCCTCACTCTGCACCCCTCGCAAGAACAGTGTGCGTGCAGTGGGGTCCTCTAGGGGGTCCCACGCTCCTGTTGGCTTCCTGGCCCCACTTACAAATGGCAGCGTCTCACTCTGCATCTGTGACCCATGTGTTAGAGATGCTGTAGATCTTCGCTATATCTCATGTGGACCAGGTTTGCAGATAGAATGGTTTCCCTTCTTCAGTTCTGCCTTCCAGAGGGGTACCTGGCAGGTTTAGTAACAGAACACAGCAACTAGTCTCTCTTGTAGATTCAGTAACAGGCTGTCCGTCCCCTCTCTAGGTGGCCAGATGAGTGGACCCCTCCTTGTCTTGGTGATGCCCATTCTTCACTCCATGTCGGGCTACTTGTACACTGTGCAAACCTCTACGACGGTGGAAGAAGACTGAGCTCATCTCAGCCTCTAAGTGTGGCTTCGCAGGTGGCGCTTGTGGTTAAGAACCCGCCTGCCGTGCAGGAGACATAGAGACATGGGCTCCATCGCTGGGTGGGGAAGATCCCCTGGAGGAGGGCATGGCACCCCACTCCAGTATTCTTGCCTGGAGAATCCCATGGACAGAAGAGCCTGGCGGGCTACAGCCCATGGGTCACAAAGAGTCAGACATGACTGAAGTGAGTTGACTTGGCACACGCCCAGCCCCACAAGGGGTCAGTGACTGAGAGCGGAGACTGCTGAAACGCAGGCGGGGCTCCGCTTTAGACCGCGAGCAAGGCCGGCTCGGGACCCCGCGCCCCGCCCGCTCACCAGCATCTGGCCCGCCCATCTTCCTGCTGCTCCGGGCAGATTTGAGCAGACCGGGAGGCTCAGCATTCTCACCTCCTGCATCAGTCCCTCCGGAAGTTCCCGTCCGCTCTCTGACTCCTTAGTCCTGGAACCCCCTGCGGGCAGGGCTCATCGGTCGCCTTGTGTGGCCCCTGCCCCAGACAGGCCGTGTGGACCCCATTCTTCCACAGCTCGCCTCCAGAGGAGCCCACACTTCCGCCCCGAGCAGGGCCAGCAGAGGCAGCATGACCTGGGGGTCCACAGAGGGTCCCTGGCAGCTGCTTGTGCCAGAGGCGGCCACTGGGACCAGCGAAGCCATGCCCCGACCTCTGCGACTGACGGGGAGACGGGGCGCAGGCATGTTGTGGCTGTTTCCCCAAGACCGGCAGCTCAGGGCGCACTTGCTTCTAGTTCATTATCCCAGCAAGTCCCGCTGTCCACTCGCCACACGTAAGACTCTGGAGATGAAGGACAAGACTTTGCCCTTGGGGAGTGTGGGGCCAATAGTGAGTGAGTAAAAGAGGCCAGTGGGCCCAGGGGTCCTGTTCGGCCTCCTTGCCCTTCCCCGGGAGCCGCCTGAGGGGCCTTCACTGCGGCCCACTGAGGTGAAAGTGAAGTCACTCAGTCGTGCCCAACTCTGCGACCCCATGAACTGAAGCCCCCCGGGCTCCTCTGTCCATGGGATTCCCCAGGCAAGAGCACTGGAGTGGGTGCCATGCCCTCCTCCAGGGGATCTTCCCGACCCAGGGATCAAACCCGGGTCTCCTGCATTGCAGGCAGATTCTTTACCCTCTGAGCCACCAGGGAAGCTCACCCAGGCAGCATGTAATACGTATGTAGAGCTGCTCATAAAGCTGGAAAGCACTTAGTATTTGGAGATTCCCCAAAGCCACGGGATCTCCAGGATGAGTGTGAGGGACACGGACTCCCCCTGCCCCCCGACTCCCTCCTTCCTCTGGAAAGGCCAGAAAATGGGAAAGGATCGCGGAGCTCCAGCGAGGCCGGGGCCTTGCTGACACACTCAGAGCCCCCACTGAGGATCCCGGGAGTCGCGGGTGTGGGCTCGGCATCGGGTGTGCCCGCCGTGGCTTCCCCAAAGGCACAGGCACCCTGACACCCAGCCATCAGACCCAGCTTCTCTCGACGGCTTTGTTGCAGCGCCACCTGCTGGTGAGACTAGACTTGGATGGAAATGGGCATGCCTCCCTTCTTTCTCCGTCTTTCACTCTTCCAGAAGAAAGAGTTGGGGTCCCTCCTAGACCTGAGACAGAAAGCACTCCCAAGCACTGTGGCGTAGTCAGCGAAGCCACGTTAAGCCACGTTGCTGTTCCCCACGGAGTTCTGCTCTGAAAGGTGGAAGGTTGACGACTGGTTCCTGTGATGAGCACTTTTTTCTGGGAAACCAACGTGCAGGCATATCAAGAGGTGTAACAGGAATTAACCTGGGAGAGAGGAAGTCAGTCTCCAGCATCCATCTAATCCTCTGTTCCTCATGGTGGAGAAAGGGCTTCCCTGGTGGCTCAGCTGGTAAAGAATCCACCTGCAGTGCAGGAGACCTGGGTTCGACCCCTGGGTTGGGAAGATCCCCTGCAGAAGGGAAGGATACCCACTCCAGCATTCTGGCCTGGAGAATTCCATGGACTGTGTAATCCATGAGGTCGCAGAGCGTTGGACACAACTGAGCGACTTTCACTTAAATGGTGAAAAATAAATAAAAACTGTAAACACTTTGGGTCTAATAGGACTGTACCTGAGAGTGAGCTCATTGCTGACACTGCCCAGTAGAGAGAGAAGAACAATTCCCATGCGAACCTCATCAGAAGGCATTTTGGATTCCCACGGACACGTCAGGAAATAGAATTTTTATAAAGGGTGAGGGTTATGTTATCTGCCCTCCCTATCTCCCCATGGTCAAATCAGGTAATCTGTAGATAGATAGTACCACCTTATGTAAGTGGAAGCGTTGTCTTGTTGTAAACGAACACCTAAGGGTGGTCAGAGAGAACATAATTGGGGACACAGCAAAAATGCTTTTTTAAATTAAAATTTCCTAGAGAAAAATAAAACTAGAGAAATATCTGTTGGAACTGTTACAGGAGGGAGGGATGTGGTAATGGTACAAAAGGCAGGTTTTCTCATTTCCTGCCACTGAATTTCATTTTCTTTCAACTTATCCCCCAAAAGGCATTTTGGGCAAATGAATCTACACTCAGCTTATCTCACTGTTGCTGTTGACCTGCCGTGAACCGACTCCTGCCACTGCAGACGCAGAAGGTTGCTCTCAAGGCTGCCCCCACCCGAGCTTGACCAGAACTGCAGCCAAGTTCAGACTCAGCTTGGCAAATCCACTGCCCTGATCACTAACAAAGCAGGGAACTCCAGCGAGCAGACAAAGCTCTGGGCGATGACAGGAAGTGCGCTCCTCAACCATCTCACTGCCCGGTTCTCCACGTCCGTTCACGCCACACGTTCAGGAATCGCAGGGGACCACCGCGTGCTCAGCCCTGGGCCCCCCACCCGGGGCCCATGAATGCAGGGGGCTGGGGTGCCCAAGTGGCCGTCTGACACCCTGCAGTCGTGGTCTCACCCAGTTGAGGGTGAGTTTGGGCCCTGTGTGTTGGCCACTGCCTTCCAGAGGACTGAAGCTGCACCTTCAACGGCAGAACGGGGGCCAAGGGGGTCCCAGGCCGCTTTCCGTCTCCTGGCCGTGCGGTCGCGTAGAAAGCCACACTGCACCCTGCCCTGGGTTAAGGACACAGACACAAGCGTTGCTTTTGTTGGGTTCCAGTTCATTATGCTTTCATTTTCTTCTAGATCAGAAACACAATGCTCTATTCTGTTCAAACAGGAACGGCAGAACCTGGAGAATCCTCTCCATCTGCCTGTGGCT